TCACAAACGTTGTGTTCGCTGCTGCATTATCCAGTGTCACACCTTGAATTTTGTCATGCAAGCTACTATCAGTAACTGCTTTGGAAAAAGCTTCAGCGATATCTCGGCCCGAATGATTGCCATTTGATGGGATAAAAAAGAGGGTCAACGAATGCATTTTCCAAGAATTGTCGATGAAGTGGGCAGTTACACCAAAATACGAGCGATTCGATATAGAGGTCCAACCGTCGAGGGTATACGAAATTTTTGAACTGTTATTTTGTAAAATGTTTAAAACAATTTTTTCCATTTCTGAATATCTTGTCTTGGTCAAGGAGTGAAGTTCGTTCCGAAGAGGAAGATTAGCTTTTGGATTCAAATAGTGAAAGAGGTCTTGCGTTTCTTTATCATCAAAGAAAGAAAATGACAGATATTTCAGAGCCACCCAATCAACTAATTTTTTGTTGAAATTTCCTTGAACAAAAACCTATATGAAATGTAACATAAGCATCAAATATATAAATTCATTCTATTTAAATTCACTGATAACTTGAAAGTGTCAACTTGCAAAGAATTAATACAAAAAACGTGGATCAAAAGAAAAAATGATCAAAACTTTTAGTATCAATTTGATCCACTTTAGTATCAATTTGATACTTTTAAGAAAACTGTATTTATAAATGTTGAGTTTATTTTTTATTTCCTTTCAGAGTACAAAAGTTTAAAAAAATATCAGAACAATAAAAATTGTTTGAATATGTACGTTAAAACTTTGGAAACATAATTTTAATTCAAATTTTACTTTTAAAAAAAAATTATTTTAGTTTTTATAATATAAAACCTCTAATTTTTATTTTAGGTCAAGGAAGAAATGAAAATTGGGGTTGGAAATTGATTTTTAAAAGTTCTTTAAATAAATTTTAATAATTTTAAAATAACAAATAAAAGAAAAAAATAAAGAAAAGTATTTTTAACATGCAAAATTTATTAGTTTTATTGTGATAAAGTTTTTTTAACTAAATTAAACTTATTGAATTACTTCTTTCTTTGATCCAAGAGTTAATTCGCTATCTGGATAAGTTTTCTTATATATTTCAGGGTGTTTGTCTCGAAGATGCCGTTTTACTCCAGTTGTGTTGCTGTCCTTCATTTTGACAATAAATTCCTTATCTGTGGGACACAGTTTGCATTTCCCCATTTTACAATCATTTGAAAAGAAAAATTCGAAAGAATCTCCTAATGGCAATCCGCCGTGTTTCCTTCTTTTTGATTTAAATGCAACGGGATTTTCTTGTCCATTGCTATATATGTACATTTTTTATAAAAATTTGGAATGTTTTGTAAATATTTTTAGAAAATTATGAATAATTAAGTAATAATTCAATTTATTAATTTCCATTTCAATTAAATTTTCAGGATTATTATTTTAAAAATACACCAATAACCTTAATTAATTTTCATTATTTATATTTAAGCAAATAGCAATTAGTAACGAAATTATAATACACCTGGACAAATCCTGATTTTCCTCCAAGACGCTCTCCTTTTTTCTTTTAGGATTTTCCATGATTAAATTGTGAATTAATTTTAATTAACCAAACGTCAAAATTAGGACGGCTTGCTCGATTGTTCGTTCGGATATTTCGAACGATTCAGAGCGAACAAAAACAAAAGAATAACATATTACCGTCACTCGAGAAAAGTGATCGACAAACGAACTTCATCGATCAATTACGAGAATTTATCGGTTCGACATGCAACACTAATCTTAACACTCTTACCTTGACGACGCTCAGCTGACCTTTGACCTGACGCCGCTTGCCAGAAATGGAAAAATACTCGATGAGGAAACTCTTAATTAATTACACCAATCTCGACGATTAAAGCACGACACTTACAAGAACACTATTTATTTAGTAACGAGAAAAAATATAAATTTATATATAAATTATTGAGAGAACGTCTGCTCGATACAATTGGGAAATTGAACTGCTGTGAAGATTCCTCTGCCGGTCCTTTGATCCCCATTTGTGGTACCATCTCTCTTACTTCTATAGACAGCATAAACCTAAGGAATATTCATTCGGCCCTATCCGCCGCTCCCCGTGAACGTTCGTACGTCACGCCTAGTAAATTCAGTCTTTCGACAGATTTCGCGATAGATACTTATCCTAGACTGCCACATAGAAGTGCAAAGACGATCTATCGATTCAACGACCCAAAAATCATATTAACGAATGCATCGTTACACTTTTGTTAAACAAATCTTCCACTATTCTTACCTTTGCTGGATTTTTTTTCATTGCGTGTCATTTTGTATCGGATATTTAAAATTTTTAAAAACTGACATTTGATTCTTTATTAGAGACCTCAAAAACCATCATAACGATTTTTATGCTAATTCAGTATTTTCTAATAATATATGCCTGCCATATTGTGTCAGTCATTTTGAATTTTTTAAATGTGACCTAAAATTTGGATTCAGTTACCCCAAAAACCCCCAAGACACAGTTTTCATGTAAATCTGGTAAAATGTTAATTTTTTAGCCGCCATATGGCTAAAATAGCTATTTTTTGCCCTTTAGGCTACATTTACTAAAAATCTTAACGTGACGGGTCATTTTGGAGGGCTGATTCGTTTTCAGCACAAAAAAATCTACAAGAATCATCGAGAACTATTTTAGGTAGAGGAGGATGGGGCAAGGATAATTAGGGGCTAAAATGTCAACATAGTGTTTATCATATTGTTTTCTATATTAGGGCTTCCAAATATTTATTTACGTAAGTGTTTGCAGAAGTGGAATTTCCTGCTGAACACGAATATCGAATTTGTTGAAGCTACTGGTGCACAATAAGAACTTGTGGAAGCTTGAGCATCGTCTACTAAAGGGATAGGGGTATCTTCGACTACCACCTGCTTGGAAAATGCTTCCGGACTTTCGTCATGTGTTCCCACATTTTCGACATGTGCTGTAACTACATTTTCGGAACCATCATTCAATACAATGTTTAAGCCTGGAGCAATAAAAATTAAATATATAAATTTAAATTAACTGACTAAAATTATAACAGTTATTATACAAAAAATAAAACATCTATAATAAAACAAATGAGCCAGCAAAAAAAAAAGAAAACACAAATAAACATACCAGGAAGTGTAGTTTTGTATATCGGACAAGTATAATTTCTGTTCAAAGAACCAACGAATCGACCACTGTAACAAAATGCTGATCCTGTCACTAGATTTCTAATAAAAAAAAGGAAACGAGAAACAATTTATATAAATATTACGTGTACATACTGATAGAACTTAACTATTTGCAAGTTACAGACTGATCTGAACTACTTACTTTATTCTGCTTTCTCGTGGAAAAAGCTTTGTACACGGAAAAAACAAACTAACTATTTTAGCACCAAACTGCTTTATCCTTTATTAGTATGCAATTTCGTTTACCTATTAGAGTATGAAATAATGCTTTTTTAGTTTAAAGTAAGTCCATACTAAATAAGTATAATGGTTATACTCGTATAGTAATAGTGACGTACTACAAAAGTATAAAATTGATGCCCGCGAAGTACGACATATAGTCTACCTAAAATAGCAAGAGCTTCTTCCTTTTTGGTGTATAAATTCTTGCAACCTGCGTTTTGGCCACGCCTCCCTCCCTTTCCAACCATTGATATATCGATATAGGCCAAAACGCAGGTTGCAAGAATTTATACACCAAAAAGGAAGAAGCTCTTGCTATTTTAGGTAGACTATATGTCGTACTTCGCGGGCATCAATTTTATGCTTTTAAAGTACGTCACTATTACTGTAAGAGTATAACCATTATACTTATTTAGTATGGACTTACTTTAAACTAAAAAAGCATTATTTCATACTTTAATAGGTAAACGAAATCGCATACTAATAAAGGATAAAGAAGTTTGGTGCTAAAATAGTTAGTTTGTTTTTTCCGTGTAGTTCTTTCATTTATAAAATTTTTAAAAATGGTAAAAACATATCTTCCTCTATATAGAAACATGTTATATGAGATCCTGATCAATTGTCCGGATATATGTATGTGTGTGTGTGGATTCCTTTTTTATTTAGCAGATAACTTTAACAGATTTTAATGGATTTAGATAAAATTTGGTAGGCTCATTTATCACATTAATCTCTCAAAAATAACGAAAGGATTTTTAAAAATACCCTTAAAAAAATTATATCGTCTTTTTTCCAAAAATTTTTTTAATTAAATAATTTTTAAATAGAAAATTCTAAGGTAATATATAATATAATCGTCTTCTTTACGACAAGACGAATCGATTAGTATATATAAACTATAGATTTGATTGAAATATAAAAAATTAATGAAAGTTAAATAATAAAAAATTCCAATTTTAACTAAAAAATGTTGTGTTCATTAAAATTCAAGTTTATATATGAAATAATTTTATTCCCTGCATTAAAAGAAATGGATTGGTTTACATAAAGTACAGATTTGATTTAAATTGTAAGAATTAATAAAAATTAAAAACTCAAAAATTCATTTCTTAGCTAAAAAATTTTGTGTTTTTTTAAATTTAAGTTAATGCATAAAATAATTGAATTCCTTGCATTGAAACGAATCGATTCGTATATATAAAGTATATGTTACATCCAAAATAAATTACAATTTTCTTAATTTTTCAAAAAATATAATGAATTTAAATCAGTTTTTAACTCGAAATGTTTTTAATCAATTAATTAAATTAGAAAAATTCATAGCTTCTTCCACGAGGAAGCAAAATGTTTATGAAATAAACATAAAGGATCCCCTCCTTGTTTTACTTAGTGCGCCATAGAAATTTTACCCCATGGATAAATATTAATTTATTAGAATATTAATGAAGTTTTTTTACAATTAATTTATAGTGTATAAGGAATATAATAACTGAATAAACCTAAATCCCAGAATAATGTAACAATATTTAAATTATGTTGAAGTGAAAATATATCATTCTTTTTGGAATAATACATTTAATTTTACACTTAGGTAGGATATTTAAAAGGCGTAAGAAAATTATGTACAAAATACAAAGTATTATGGATTGCTGATGAGGTTCAAACTGGATTAGGTAGAACTGGAAAGCGTTTAGCTGTGGATCACGAAGATCAGAAGCCTGACATTTTAATTCTTGGTAAAGCTTTATCAGGTGGAATGTATCCTGTATCTGGTGTTTTGGCTGACGAAGAGGTAATTATTTCTCCATTACATGTCATGTAAAAGTGCAAAATGTATGTTTCAGTGCGCCCGAAAACTTTTCTGTGTAAGCACAGTTCAGATATCGTATCTATTATTTTTTAACACAAAAATTGCTCTGATACTTAAGATAAACAATTATTACTAAAAATATGCAGATGCTATACAATTATACTTAATTAACTCAGTAACAATCTAAACGATGTCCCTACTGAAAATTCCTATATAAGATCCTACATGGATTTCTATTCAAAAATCCACATGGAAGCCCAGGTTGATTATAGGAATCCATATGGAAATCTATAAAAAAAACCGTATATAAAATTGGGACATGATTTTGAGTATGAATTCATGTGGGAATTTGCATTTGTGTTTTAACATAGGAATTCATGTGGATTCTCTTATGTAATTTCTTACATTTTTTATCAATTTCCCATGTCAGTTTACTTCATAATTACCCACATTAAATTTTACAAAAAATATCATATAAAATCCTAAAGATTTTCTTACATAAAAATTTACATAAATGTATTAATGTAGGAAGCCATATGGGATTTCATGTAGATTTTGAAATATTAAGAATATATATGGGGTTATATTCCTGTATATAAGTGAAAAAAAATTGATCGGATCGGGCTGTAACTTGCACATAGTTTATCCCTAGGAGTGAGTACTTTAACCACGAAGTATTGTTAGCTTTCTTCGAAAAAAAATTGAGATGTCCTTTTTTGTTATTTTTGAGATATTAATTAATTAATTAAATTATTAATGTTAATAAAAAATGAAATATTTTACAAATAAATAAAGTTATTGCAATTCTGATGTTACTAAATACTAATACTTACTTTAATTAATTTTTACACATAGCATTGTTTAAACAACCCTTAATTAACAAATACATAATACCGCTACTTTTACATGTTTCAGATTTGGGTTTGCTTAAAGTTTTTTTAAAGATAATGTATTTTTATAATATTTAACAAAGTCAATAATTAATTAAATAATTTTTATATTTTTAATAACAATTTTATATAAACAAAATATCTTTTTGTTATTTTTACCTCGTCTCTTTAAATCTCTTTTCTTTATTTTTTAATTATTTCTCTCATATTTTTATTTAATGTAAATACTAGCAATATTAAAACTAATTTTAGTTAAGAAATTTACAAAATTGTTGCTACATGGAGAAAATCTGAAAGCACTGAGTATTTTTTCTCACAGCACTGGCTACTGTGTAAACCAAAAAATTAAATTCCAGAGTTCTGAAAGTTCTCCACACAGCACTGAATGCTCTGCAGAAAATAATCATAACTTTTTTTGACAGTAATTAGAGTTTTGTTTCATATTAGTTAACAACAGATTATTCAGAACTACGAATGTAGCAATAAATTCTTTGCTCGAAGTAGTGACTACAGTTCTCACAGCTCTGAGTACTGTGTAGAATTATTTTTTAGAATTTATAAAACAAAGGAACGTTTAACGTCAATTAAAAAGAAGTTAGCCATGGTTATTTTTTCTTGTCAAATATTGATTTTAATTGGCATGTTTATAAACAGTTAATGAACAACAGAAATAAAGAAATGAAGACTTTAAAAAGTCTTTTTAAAAACTATCGGTTTTTAAAAATTTTTTTAGTTATATAGCAAATAAAGTTATTATATTAGAATAAAATAATAAATAATTATTTTTAAAAAAAATTATTATGGGTAAATTTTAAATATTTATTTGTATTTCACAAGTTTTGAGATTTTAAGATTTCTTAGCTGATATCGAATTACAACCTAATCTAAATTTATAGATAATTATGATTAGAAAATAATAAGTTTCAACATTATTATTTCAAATATTTATCTCTTAAAGTAAAAAACAATATAAATTATGTTAGTCAAATAATCTGTTTTTCATAAAAATATTAGAAAACATCTAAAATTGATTAAAATTTTCTTGAACGCTTGTTTAAAATTGTTGTCTATTTTTCATTAAAGGTTTAATGTTCTTTTATTTCTTTAATCCTAAAAAATAATTCTACACAGTACTCAGAGCTGTGAGAACAGCAGTCACGACTTCGAGCAAAGAATTTATTGCTACATTCGTAATTCTGAATAATCTGTTGTCAACTAATATGAAACAAAACTCTGATTACTGTCAAAAAAGTTGTGATTATTTTCTGCAGAGCATTGAGTGCTGTGTGAAGAACTTTCAGAACGCTGGAATTTAATTTTTTGGTTTACACGTTAGCCAGTGCTGTGAGAAAAAATTCTCAGTGCTTTCAAATTTTCTCCGTGTATCAGCCATTTTAAATAATTTTTATATACGGGGCAAAATTCCTGTAGCGTACTAAGTGAAAAAAAGTTAAGCCTTATGGGTGAGTTTCTTATGAACGAAGTATTGTTAAAATAATTTACGTGATGCAGAATTATATCATCTTTAAAATAAGACGTCAAAATCGATTGAAAGTAGGCTTTATGTTAATTTGTCCACGGCCCACTGTGTAGCGTAGAGCGCGTGGAGCTTGCACGCAATTTTGAAAAATTCATTTAATCTTATTTAACTCATCAGGCCCATTCCGGCTATTTTTGTAAAATCTTCTGTATATTTTCAGACATGAATAAATTATAAAAAACAAAATTTAATCTGGCCTAAATTTAAAAAAAATTAATTTGTTTAGGGTCAACCGGGGTAAATCCGAACGCTTTTAGTAAGTTTCAACAATAACATAAGTTTTTCCTTTAAAAAAAAAAATACTTCCGGTATTCTGGTACATGAAGTTGTTACTTTACTTCCATAGAACAATTTTATGGGGTAGCAAAAATTTTTGATAAATTACAATCGCAGGAAACTTAGCGTTCGTATTTACCTCGATACTTTGCAACTTTCCTAAAATACCGGGGTAAATACGAACGCCACTGTATTTCAGAAAAATCTTAGGGAAAATAAATTTAAAGTATTGCAATTGTTAAACTTATATAAAAACTAAAAAAAAATACGATAATAAACCTATTATGTAATAATGCATCATATATAAATACAAAAATCAAACAGGCTAAAAATTAAAATGCATTACACAATTAAAACCTTCAATAACACTATCAAATCATAACGGATTTTTGCAAAACTTGCTACAGAAAGTATTTTGGAGTGATTGAATGTAAATACAAAAATAAAAGTCAAATTTTTTAAATTCAAAATGGCGGACTTTCCTAAAACTTATTTTTAAAAATGATCAAATTTGCTAACTCCAAATTCGTAATCAGCGACCCTGAAACCCCCCGAGTAACAATTTTCGAGCGAATCCAATGAATTTTTTAATTCTCGTCCGCCATTTTGAAATTTGAAAAACTGACTTGAAATTGGTAATTAGCGATCCCAAAAACTGTAGAATACCAAATTTTATTAAGATCCTGAAAAACTTTTTTCAACAAACCATTTGGCAAAAAAATTGAAACACTCCTTCGAGAGAATAGAGATTAAGTTTCTGCTTATTAATTACTAACGAGGATACGTATAGAAAGAAAAACTTTTTTCTACGTACTTTTATAATGTTAAAATAATAGTGTAATGAAATAAAAACAATTTTGTGTGGCTCTGATGTAAAAAAAAATTATTGAAAATACCGTTCGGATTTACCCCGATTTTCCAATTTTCCTGGGTAAATACGAACGGTCTGATATTATTAATAAAATTTTACAGAAGGCAAAAAGCCAAAAATTCATAGCTAAAAAATTTGGACGATTTTCCAAAAATAAAAACACGTATTTCATGTTTTTCTACAAAGAATAAGAAAAAAAAATTAGGGACGCATAAATTCAATTATTACAATTATTGATTATTCGATTCTTAAATTTTTGAGCCAGATACTTTGATTTTGCAATTTGGAATTTCTATTATTTTGATGTGACTATCTTAATCAGATATCCTAAAACTACCCCTGAATTAAGTTTGAATGCACTTGGTTACAATAATAGTTATTTCGATTTTTTAACCCCAAAAACAGTTTTATAGCTATATCTCAGTTTTAGCTTGTAATTTTTGTAAAATTATGCTAAAATGTGACTAAATAACATTAATTATTTAAGTATAGAAAGCTTTGAAACGATTTATTAAGAATTAAATAGTTTGAACATTTTTGATTTTTCGAATTTTTAAAAAGTAGCATATCTTCCATACAAATTAATATTTTTTAATCGGGTATGGCTAAGATTTTAAGTTAGGCTAATACCTAAGAGACTGACAAGTTTCACTTCAATCGGTCAAACCGTTCTTGCATGATGCTGGAACAAAATATTGAAGACATACATACATACCACGGTGCTCCTGAGTGAATTTAAATAAAAGTTTTAGCTAACTAAATTTTCGAAGCAAATTTTCTTTCTAGCTGGTAATAGGATGAAGAAAACAAAAAAGAAAAAAATCCACTTGGCGCTTTTTTTGGTAGCAAAAATAAGTTTTTATTTATGATTCTCGAACAAAACTATAACGTATTGCTCTAATACCGTAGTCATTTTTCTGTTTTTAAACTAATTTACTATTTCCCATCTCTTGTAAGCATAACTTAACATAAAATGTAATTTTTAGACTATTTTACTTTATGCGGGAAACCTAATTGTGTCTCTTATTAAACTAAAAGTAAGTTTATAAGGTAATACATCAAAATATAGTTGTTTAAGATAGACTTTTAATTTACATACTTAATTTCTTTAGGATGTTCCTTCCTAATTATTAGAAGTCTGGGAAACACTGTGAAAACCGTTTAAAATGTCTGATTGTTGCAAAAACAGTAAAAAAAATACTTATAATTTAAAATAAAATTCAAACGTAGCTAAATAAATTGCTGGATCAATTTGATTTTTCTGATGAAGGTTTTCCTGGTGTGATATGTTGTGCAAGCGATTTGTCTGTGGATAAGGCACTATAAAACAAAAAGCGGTTTAATGTTCCTGATTATAATAAATAAAAGAAAAGTAGGCATATACCTTCTATAATTGAAAATTAAT